CGTGAAAAACTTTCGTTGGACGAATTTTCTTGTAAACTTCATATTTACTGAGATATCGCACTTTGACGCACTAATGAGCAACCCTGTATATAAAACATCAAATATCTACTTTTGCTCAAGTCCACATTTGTGACTGTGAAATATGATCAGCGTGTGTACGAAAAATTTAACTTTTTTGCAAAATAAAATTTCTGTATTTTTTTTTTATTTTTTTTTTCTATATTTTTATTAAGATTTTCCGCACGTAGTCATTTTTTTGCATTTTGCACTAAATGAAACTGAATTCTCAGTCAATTAAAACGAAAATTCCACTCCGATTGGTTTGTTACGTACGTTTCAATTTTGAAGCCATCATCAACTAAAAGGTTTTTACAGCTAATTATAAGATTAGTGAAATTTTTGCTAACCTAGCTTTGGCATAAATATTCTATATATTTTATTCATTCTGCGATTATTTCTGTGATCGTTAGTAAATTATTACAAACAAGTTTTTTATTGGCGATTAATCGGTATTAGGGTGTTTAAAATTTTTGGATTTTCACTACTGAAATTATTTAATCTGATGTTATGTTACGTACGAAATGTGGCGATCGCCACGAAATTTGCATTTTAATCGCCAGAAAATAATTAAGTATCAGTTTCAATAATTGTGTAAACTATATTTTTTCTTTATGCTTTTCATTTGCTTCATCCGTACTACATTTATGACGCAGAGCATGTATTGAGATGGTGGATTATTTTTCACTTCAGTTTCCGCTTACTTATGTGTACTTTTTATTCCTAAACCAGTGTTTGACATAAAGGTCTAGCTGGGATAAAAAACGCAGATTTTCAAACAACGAACTCTCTATTAACAAAAATCTAGAATTAGTCACATATTTTCGGTTTTCATCCTAACGCGAAGGGGGAAGCTCTGTTGGTTTTGAGGAAGTACTTTCCATCGCTGCTAAAATGAAATTATTTATCCATGAATAAATGATACTGATTCATTCCATATCCATTTAATTTAACTTACGATGCACGTTCAACAGGATATCCTCCTTGGCGACTGGAGACGTTGTTTTCGCAGCGATTTCGGTCAAAGTTTGAGTAAGTGTCGCATTGCTTGGCAATAAATTTATTGCTGTTCAAACTTTCAGCAAAATATACGTAAGCTCTGCTGTGAGCGCAGCTGCCAGCCAGGTCAATACCACATCCAGGTTGAGAGCTGCCTCCATTTGGATAATAATCAGCATCTCCCATCTTAATTCCGAAGCCGAGAACTCTATCATTGGTGTGAATAACATGGACATATTGACCATCAGTGGGGTCCAAGCGATTGTTAATATTGCTGCTACTGAACAGAGGCCCGGCAGGATCCAAACCAATAATGTTCTCAATTAAACCATGAGTTCTAGCTCCCACGTTACCTATACAGATGTATTTTCCATCACAAAAATTGCACAGAAAGAAGCGTTACAATACCTGCAATATGCGCTCCAAGAGAGTGTCCCACCACAGTAATATGTTTGATTTTGTGGTTGAGCTCATCATCTAGTTTCAGCAAAAAGTCCCCAATGTAGTTTCCCACAGCCAAGACAGAACCTTGTGCACTTATGTAGTTTCTGCTTGCAATAGGGCTCCAATCAGCTACGATGACGTTGACATTGTTGCTGACCAGGGCAGCATTCTTAATCTTGTCATTCACTGGAGATTCATAGTAATTTCTCCAACCATGAATTACAACCAATGTTGGTCTGTTCACGTCAAAACCAGTTAGTGTTTCAATATCTTTTAATTGACTTTCGGTAATTTGCACACCTAAAAGAACATATGAAGTTATCATTCTGAAATGGACTCAATAAGATGAAGATTACTTTTGAATGTTACTTTGAGCAGCAAAATAATTGATTATTAAACTGTTCCAAGCATTGAAAGATCATTTATCCCAACGTACTGTTTAATGGTTCCTTTAAAATAATCTTCTTTGTGAATTTTGTAAGATCCAAATGACAATTGGTTTGCATCATTTCTGCATCTCCACGTAGACTATTTTTTTACATGCCATTGAAATATTTTATGTGTAATCTATAGTCAATCGAATTTAGTAAAAACTATAAGGGGATACATTTTGGATGGAAACTATTTAAAAATCCAAAGGCTTTCGTTTATTAGAGTGAATTTCGGGTCTTATTGGGAGTATAGCTCACCATTCAGGCGATTTTCTGGGGTATAGATGTAAAAGGAAATATCGTCTTCGGTGGCGGTTAGAGTAATTACAGCCGACTCAACATCTTCTAGGTCCTCAACTTCAAAAAGTCCTTCATCGGTTTTCCACACGAGATATTTCGTATTGTTCACTAGTTCGCTAGTTACCTCTGATTCACTCAATAGAGCAACTGAAATTAAAAATTACCAATCTAATACTGTATGAAACGTGAGCATTTTTTTGAACTTTAGCACATTAAATGTACATTTTGGTATCTACAATTATCTATCAGTACATATTTCTTTACAAGGAAAGAGCGAAAGCAAAGAACATTGAAGGAAACGGAACATTGAAGGAAACAACTGATATTTTACAGTTTATTTCATCGTCAATTACTTAAAAATCAAATAACAAATCGGACGCAGAAATAAAAAATGTAAGATGATGCAGCTTCGAAATTAGTTAACATTAAGCAAATGCTGTTTAAAGTTTTCTGTGTTCAAGTGATCCTAATATGGATTCGTAATGGCAATTACTGGATATTATTGAGTTCTAGCAGCACACAAAAACAGTTAGGATCTTCAGAATAAATCGAATAAAATTCAGAACATTTTATATTACCTGATTTAGCAAAGGCAACGGCAATAACCGCTGCTAAGACCACAAGTGTCTTCATCTCGAGCTCTGCGATGGGTACCAAACAAAGCCTATACTAGATACTTCACACTTGAGATACACTATTTATAACAATTATCTATACCATTTCATCATAAGTGAATGAAGGAGTGATAAGATTGAAACGTTTTAAACAATTCTATATATAACTGATTAATGCCAAAAAAATCATCAATAACAAATTTCTCACTTCCACAAATCAGATTTAAATCTAGGATTACTATAGGCTTATTTTAAGGACGTATTATTTTATTTTCAATTCGTATGATTGCGTTTTTATAAAATTCCTTTATGTACATTGACGATTATTTACAGATAATAGGAGGAATATATGACATATCAGCCGATTCTTCTACCATTTAGTTAAAAGATTGCAGATTATTTTCGGGGTAAAAAGCTGCAACATTTCAAAAAGTTTCCAAGACAAAGTAAAAATTAAAATTTGTATCAATTTGGTCAAGTATCGTCGGGTAATGGAAGAGATACTGCAATTACAATTACATTCTCCTAGTTGATTTTATAAGCAAACCAATATAACAATTTTTGTACGCAGCCAACAATTCGAAGATGAAATAGCACCAAAATATTTAATATACAATAATAACAATAGAACCTTCAAAATTAAGCAGATAACATTTATCCTTTATAGCATTAAGCAGATATCATTTATATATAATTTTTATTTATCACGTAAAAATGACGTGATCAGGTACGCTGAAGTAACCAATTCTTCCACTTCATATCGACGTGATTATTGCTGCAATATGTCACAGTCGTCATTTCTTGCGTGCTTTTTTGCCTTAAAATGTGTTTCACGAAAACGTAAGTTAAAGTAAGTGAAAATAAAAAACGCGATAAACTACTATAAACGTTTTAAAAAGCATATAAATTTTACATACATTACACAACAGTTGCTGGCAGAGATAAAAAGTAAAGTATAACTTAAATAAATAACAACTACCTACACGCAAAAAATTAGAAACACAATTCCATGAAAACAGCAAATAAAAACCAATACATAATTACAAATGTTTCATTTAGCGTTACTGATGTTTTAATAGAGAATGAGAACGATAGGTAATTGCAACTATAACAACATAAAAAAAAAGAAACACATTAAAGACATCAACATTAATAAAATACAAGCAAATAAAAAAATACTATCATGAAACAATACGAAAGGTACCAATATTGATTTTTTCAGAATCGAGTATTTTGAGTTTGAAGAATTTCGTCTATTGAATTAAACCTTATATACAGTAAAAGTATACTTTAAAATAACGTTAAGAATACTTGAAATTTAATTCTTTATTCACACAGTGACCACTTTATTTGCTCGGTATATCAGAGTACAATAATATTATTTTTTTTTACCCTTTACAATCAAGACATGAAAATAATGTATTTAGGTAGCTTCAACCTTAAACTAAAATAATACACTCTTGATTCATATCGATAAACAGAACGGTTTTCCAGGGAAACTATTTTTATTGAATTAAACACTTTTTCTATATTGGTTTTTATGTGAAAAGTAATTTTATGTTTACATTTCTGTACGTACAAAAAGGGATTTTCCTGATAATAGCATAATACAGTCACATGAAAAAAAACACTTTTCCTACATTTGTTTTTAAAACTGAAGATTTAATTGTAATTTTTCGGTACATATATATGTCTGTTTCGTGTATAAAATTATTTATTGTCACCACATTTCCCAGCAGATTCTAATCAGAGTTCTGTGCCTGATATCTGCAAATCGAATTATTCTGTAAGGGTGTTTGGTGAATATTTGGCGTAGTATTATGCAGGGGAACTTATGCCGCTATGAGAAATTTCTTGTAAGAGTATTGTTTGCGAGAGTTCTTGTAGAACATTGCTTTTTCAGTTCCAGGATTGAAAATTTACAGTTTTCGAACACTTCTTAAGGGAGAATTTAATTAGTTTAAATATTGCAAGCGCAGTATTTAAGCATGTATTTTGCGCAATGCTAAACTCTTGGATGGTTTGTTGATGCACCAGTCCCAGCTWCTCCCTCTTGACCGCTGAAATCAATAACATTTTACTCGAATAATTAGAAAAGAATTACTTTAAAAGAATTACAGTTGCAATTTGTTTTTCTTTTGCGCACGTCGGCATTCTATTTGTTTAAATTTTCTGTTTAACTTTTCATTTTTATTTAAAACAAAATATCAGGATTTTTTATATGAATTACCTACATATTTTGAATAGTAGATTCTATTTTAAATTTTGGCTTGAAATTGACGTATAAGCCTCAAAGTCGTGGTAATGATAACAATAATAAAAATAATTAATTAATTTTTTCGCCTTTGTTGACTTTTACCATATGCAAAACTTGATCTAAAGTGACTTGGAATTACGTAATGTGAAAAACCATGGCTTGGACAAAACTCAAAATAGGAAATTGTTGCTATTAATCGTGTTATTCGTAATATTAGTTAAAAATCATGTTCTCATTTCTTCTACTACTAAAACTCGTCCTTGGAAATAACTACATCTTTTTTTCTGAAAATTTGTGGGGTAAAATGCAGTGTTGAATATGGGCAACAAATTTCATGCGAAAAACGGAAATAGTTTGCCTTCGATTCGAATCCTGTTTACAGTAAACCACTAGTAACTTGTTAAGTGTTCTGAAAGGTAAATATGCAACCTAAAATTAGTGGTTTGTCTGACTTTTTTGTGATTTAGCTTAAGTGATTTCAAGTGTGTTGTTTAAAACAGTACTGAAATCTTCGGTGATTAAAAGCATAGGAATGTCCAGCATTAGAAAATAAACTGATAGTAACTGAGTCCACAATTTTGAAAGTAAAATTTATTGATTTCTTGAAAGATCGGACTAATCGGACTTCACTAGGAGTCATAATAAATTAGAAAGTTTCTTCTACTTATAGCTTCGGGTAT